TTGTTATAGATAAACATTCATTAGTAAAGCTATGACTGAAATCACAACCCTGTAAATGTTTTGTTTCTTCTTCTGCCAATCCACTGAATGGGGCTCCACATCAGGTAACCCAATATGAAACTGTATCTGTTGAGTGGAGAATCATTTACCTCAGTGTCTCCAGTTTACAGTGTTGACTCTTCAGTCCATCAGAGAGAAGCTTCACTCCTGAATCCTGCAGGTCATTGTTACTCAGGTCCAGCTCTCTCAGCACACAGTTTGAGGATTGTAGAGCTGAAGACAAACTCTCACAGCACTGAACAGTGAGATTACACATGACCAATCTGAGAAAGAAGAACACAGATTACATTAACAGTGGGATTTTAGTCATTCATTTGATGTAAAAACAAACTATGAGGTTAATAGTATGAGAAAAACTATTGGAATTTGTGTCACTTACAATTATTGACTATTATTATTCAATAAAACTGAATATTAAATGTCATCTAATATAGACCTTTTTCATGGCTGTTGAATGGAGGGCGCCATAGCAATCAGCATTTTCCGGTAAAATGGTTAGAACTTCTGTTTACAGTGTTTACAACCGGTAATTTGCACTCCGAGAATGGGTTTTAATAGTGTTTTTAATGGATTACAGAGTGTTTTTGTGACACACAACTTAGAAATGCGTCTGTTAAAGATGTTATAATCTGTCAGATGTTACTCAAGCGCGTCGGAAATACAAGAAAAACATTCTCCTAGTTCACGTGTTTGCCGTCAGAAAAATCACAGGCAATACTTCACTGCATGATAGAGCATAAAACTAACATGTGAGTCATGCAATTTACAAAAATGACCAATAAAAGTTTGTTATTGATACCCTGCTGGCTGATTTGCTGTTCATTCTAATTGCAAGCCGTTTGTTTAATTTCGTGTGTTGTTTTCACCACGGTTTGTGTTTCTCTGTCATTTGGAAATGACACTAGCCTTCATTTTTACAGTTATTAAATCAGTGTGTCAGTGGCACAGTACAGGCTACGTGTGTGTGTTGAACATTTTGGTGAACTACATTTGTTTGGGCTGGTTATAGGCTATATTTAAAAAGAAAGAGAAAATGTTGATTTTAGCGATGACGATCTTCATTTAAACGGTAGAAGATGCTGTCTGACAACGAGGGGAAAACGCCTCACAGCAGCTGTTTTCCATCCTATTAGATCACATTTCTTTAAATAATCAGTCTAAGAGATGGTGCTGATGGACAACAGTATTAGTTTAAAGATGATACAAACAAGCAAAATAAATTTCAAAGCTTCCAAATGTTACTGTTTACACGCATCAGCTGCAGACTAGAAGTTCTTAGCATTCTCCTTGTGCATACACGCAAAGCATTATTGGTAATTTTGCGTTTTACGAAAAAGGTCTATATTCTTGAATATTTTGAAATGTAAGAAAACTGCTAAATTTAGGTTTAGATAAGAGGACCACAAGACTTTATATATGTATGAACCTGCAAAATGCAAATGATCAGAGCCTGTCAAACCTGATCCAATAAACCAATTCACAGATAAACTATAAATACAATCATTAAAAATATAAAGATTTTAGAGGTAATTAAATAAAATAATCATTAAAATACACTAATTTCCTAAACTGTTTAAGAAAAAGAGCAACTTTCATTTAAAAAGCAGCATTTTGCAGTTTCTCCACTAATGCTCTTAAATATATCTGGACATTTCCATCTCAATCAAAACACTTTTAATGTTGTTGAGTGGAGAATCATTTACCTCAGTGTGTCCAGTTTACAGTGTTGACTCTTCAGTCCATCAGAGAGAAGCTTCACTCCTGAATCCTGCAGGTCATTGTTACTCAGGTCCAGCTCTCTCAGCACACAGTTTGAGGATTGTAGAGCTGAAGACAAACTCTCACAGCACTGAACAGTGAGATTACACCACTGTAGTCTGTGTAGAGGACAAAGAGCAACAAAATCAGCAGTGAGAAATGAGCAGTGTTGAGTGTTCATGAGTCCAGTCTACAGTCATAAAAGCAACACTGAAAATAAACTATATATATATACTGCTCAAACAATAAAGGGAACACTAAAATAACACATCCTAGATCTGAATGAATGAAATATTCTTATTAAATACTTTGCTCTTTACACAGTTGAATGTGCTGAAAACAAAATCATTCAGACATGATCACTGGAAATCAAATGTATTAACCCATGGAGGACTGGATTAAGAGTCACACTTAAAACTGTAGTGAATTGCAGGAACTGCTGACACACTCCAGACACATGAGGTCCAGCATTGTCTTGTATTAGGAGGAAGCCAGGGCCAACCACACCAGCATATGGTCTCACAAGGGGTCTGAGGATCTCATCTCATTACCTAATGGCAGTCAGGCTACCTCATAGTGTTGTACCATGGTGTTGGGCTGCAACCCCCACCTGTGGACATTGGACCCTCATACCACCCTCATAAAAAGAACATATATTCTTTTTATTTATTTATTTATTGATTGAATCTACATAAAACTAAAGTAAAGCTGTATTTTCCCATTCATATGTATTTAATGAATTATTGAACAGATTATTAATAACTAATCAGAGAGCATTTTACTGAGCTCAGCGTAAAGTTTAGTGTTTAGGCCTACAGTAAATGTAATATTAGAGGCATGTCTGCGGCGAGACGACAATACTGTGTCTAAAATTACACTATTTCTCTGATCATAAAACAAACACAATTATCCAAGAGCAACACTGTGTTAGATTTGAGCAAATACACATCAACAAATGTCCTATTCAGCTGGAGGAGCACAGGGATTTACAGGGATTTGAGTTATTTTCCAGGATAAACTGTAAAGCAAATGAAGTAGATTATTAAATAAGTACAAATGTTGTTTGTGTGAGTAAAAAGTCAAGACAAGTTTGTTAAATATGTTTAGAAATGATGAAATAAATGAGCAAATAAGGAAACAGAACACTGCCGCCGCGTCCCCATGCAGTAATATGGTGTATCAGCGATCTCACAGGGGGACGATATGGCCAGCTAAAGATTCTCTGTTAAAGCAGGGCAGTGATTCACTAAACTGATCTGAGTCTTCAGTGCAGACTGATGTGTGTCTTCTGTGATCAATCAATGAATACTCACAGAACTCTTCTGCAGTTTCTCACAGCTGCTATCAGTCTCCGTCTTCCCTCAGCTGATGTGTTGAATTTATTAAAGTCTAACTCATCCAGCGGCTCCCCTGACATCTCAATCATGTAGGAGATTGTTGAGCAGTGAGCAGGAGAGAGTTTCTCCTCTGAGTGTTTGTCTGATTTCACAAACTCCTGAATCTCTCTGGCCAGAGTCTGATCTTTCACCTCCAGCAGACAGAGGAACAGATTGATGGATCTTTCAGCTGAGAGACGGTTATCTCTCTTGATCTTGTCTTTAATGTCCTGTGTGATTCTCCTGATGTTCTCTGAGTTCTCCTCTGTGTGTGTCAGAAGATCCTGGAAGAGTCTCTGATTGGACTCCAGTGAGACGCCCAGCAGGAACCGCAGGAACAGATCCAGATGACCATTACTACTCCAGACAGCTTTATCTACTGCTGAACTGAGCAGATCATACAGAGACTTCTCAGAGCTGGACTGTAGATATTGATCATATGAATATTCTTCATCATAAATCACCCACAGCGGTTCTCTGTTCTCTGTTAAATGGCAGTAAAACACAAAGAAAGCAGCCAGAAACTCCTGAAAGCTGAGATGGATGAAGCTGTAGACTTTCTTCTGATGAATCACAGATTCCTCCTTGAAGATCTCAGTGCAGATCCCAGAATACACTGAGGCGTCAGTGACGTCTATGCCGCTCTCAATCAGGTCCTCCTCATAGAACATCACATTGCCCTTCATCAGCTGTCTGAAAGCCACTTCAGCAAGTTTGAGGATCACTCCTCTGTTGGACTGCAGTTTCTCTGGATCTCCCTGCAGATTCTTTGGATCTCTCTCTTCATACTTCTGCTTCCTCACGTTGATCTGAATCAGCAGGAAGTGGATGTACATCTCAGTCAGAGTTTGAGGGATTTCTGCACTCACATCTTCTTCCAGGAGCTTCTGAAGCACAGTGGAGGAGATCCAGCAGAAGACGGGTATGTGGCACATGATCTGGAGGCTTCTTGCTCTTCTGATGTGGGAGATGATTCTGCTGGCTTGATGGTCGTCGCTGATTCTCTTCCTGAAATATTCCTCCTTCTGAGGCTCAGTGAATCCCTGAATTTCTGTCAGCCGGTTGATGTATCTGGAGGGGATCTGATGGGCGGCTGCTGGTCTGGAGGTGATCCAGATGAGAGCAGAGGGAAGCAGATCTCCTTTCAGGAGGCTCCACATCAACACAGCCACTGATGAAGATTCAGTCACAGCACAAACTTTCTCCTCATCTGAAAACTTCAGTGTGATTCTGCTTTCATCCAGACCATCAAAGATGAACACAACTCTACACTGCTCATAAATCTTGGGCTCCAGATCTTCAAGTTCAGGATGAAAGTCCAGCAGAAGTCTGTGAAGACTGTACTGATGATCTCTGATCAAGTTCAGCTCTCGAAATGGAAGCACAAACATGAAGTCTACATCCTGATGGTCTTTTCCCTCGGCCCAGTCCAGAATGAACTTCTGCACAGAGACGGTTTTCCCGATTCCAGCGATGCCTTTAGTGAGAACAGTCTTGATCTGGGCTTTCTCCTTCTTGATCTTCTCCTCATGTCCTGCTCCAGCTGAGGCTTTAAAGATGTCATTGCAGTAGACTGGAGTGTGTTGTGAGGGTTTTGTTCTGACTCTTTTCTCCATCTGTAAAACCTCATGTTCTTCATTCACTCCTTCACTCTCTCCTTCTATGATGTAGAGCTGTGTGTAGATGCTGTTCAGGAGGGTTTGAGTCTCTCCATGGTTGATTCCCTCAAATAATCTTTCATACTTGTTCTTCATGCTGGTTTTGTGCTGCTCTTTGACTCTCTGAAGTTCATCATGTTCTGGTTGGAGTGAATCCTGCTGCAGGTCTCCAGTATGATCATCTCTAGCCACACTGCAGGAACAACAACAACACAAAGAACCAATGAGTGCGAGTGTAAAGATCCTCTAGTAAAGCCATATGTGTTTTCTCTGAACCAGCTGAGACACAATACACAGATTTAATCCAGAACCAAACTACAGTAATACAGAAACGGTCCCAGATCAGCAAGAACCGGCTTCATTTTAGAACTAGGTTTACAAATAAATGAAAAATACTAAATATTGACTGTATTATAGACTGATGTAATAAGCCCATTTCTAAACTTAGGCATTTTCAACTAAACCACACATTAAACAATTCACATTAATTAATCTAATCAGTGTATTTCAATTAAATATACTTATTTAATTAAACATATCTTCTGTAAGGGTTACATTCATGGAGCTCACCTCAGTCACTGTCATTAGGTGTCATAACTTTATTATTATTATTTCAAATCAATTTAAGGTAATATATGCACATTTTAGAGGGTGTGCACTTTACGGCAGGGGTGCAATTCTTGGCATAACACCGCTTCATCTATTATTTCTCTCGATAATGTAAGCCTATAATGCAGAATTCTAGCCCACATTTTGTAATAGATTGATTATTTCAATAGACAGATTTTTACAAAACTTGACAACTGAAATGAGGCCATGTATGAGAAAGTCTGACTGCTCTGATTTATGTTTGGTGACGATGTCTGTGGGTGTCAAAATTAAAGTGCACATTTTTGCTTACAATATACATGTAGATTTTTTCCAAGTTTAGTTTCATCAATTGTAAACAAATCATTTTAAAATTGTCAGTTGTATTTAAAGAAGTTATGCTGAACAAAGTGTGAGTGTACAATTATATTTGGCTTTTGACACTAAGAAATAGCTATTAACTTTTTAAAAATCTGAACCACTGGCCCAATCGGCCACTAGAAAAAATCCTTAGCCTTGAACCCTGTGTGGTGTGTTTGTCTCACAGAACTTGTTCATTCATCTTGTCTATAATCTTTCTTTTCATCACAAACCCTTTGCTGACTATTGTAAAAGCCTGTAAACTCACTCTACTAACTCTAAAAGTTTGAGCATTAATACTTTCGTCACTTAATATTACTTCAGTACTTCACTAATGATCAGATGTGAGTGTGTGGACATTCAGTTTTAAAGTCTCCTGTATTTTGTTCCCTGTAATAAAATGTCTTGACTGGACTGTGAGAATCAAGTGTAATAATGTCTGATCTTCTAGAAACACAGGATCATATAAATGCTGCAGTGTGATCATGTGTGTGTAGAGATGATCTACCTGACAGCAGGTCGTGTGTTTTCACTCTTAAATTTTATTGGTGGAGCCATAGACGCGTCACTCTTCATAGACACACAGCTGGGCTCTGCTTCTGCTCTCTTCTGATGTACTGAACTAAAACAGAGAAGATTAAAGTTCAGCGCTGCACACACTGGAGTTAACACACCAGATATTCAGTCATTATTTAAAAATCACTTAACAGCACTTTATTTTATTTTTATATGTTTGTGTCACATTAAATAAAAATAAAACTACCCACGAACAAATTGAAAATTATTTTGATTAAAATAATAAAAATAATCATATGAAATGTCAAGTGTAGGTCTAATACCTGCATCTTGTAGACAAATCCAGATCTCCAG